CTGGCCTGAACTTGGCTTATGGGGCTTCACAGTTTAGAAGTCAGTAAGGAGAGTCACTTTCAGGCAGGCCCAGGACCTCAGAATATGTGAGGAATGTAGACAAGTTCAGGATTTCCAGTCAAGATGGCAGAGCTGTCGGACCATGAGCTCGCTTCTCCTCATGACTACAACAAAACCACAACTGAATTTTAAACAACCATCAAAAAAAAAAAAAACAGAATCTAGCGAAAAAGATCTTATGCAACTGGAAACATAAAGAGGGAACCACAGAAGAATTGTAGGAGGGGTGTGCTCAAGATACAATTGGGCCCCATACCCCCCAGGTGGGTGACCTAGAAGCTGAAGATTTGTTAAGTCGCAGAGGGCCTCCTACAAAAGTGAGAGTTCTAAGCCCCCCCATCAGGTTCCCCAGCTCTGGTCCCAGCATTGGGAAGGGAAGGCGACCACAGGACATATGGTTTTGAAGGCCAGTGGGGCTTGGCTATGTGAGCCCCACAGAACTGAGGGAAACAGAGACTCCACTTGGGAGGCATACACGGAAACTCACATGCACCAGGTCCAAAATCAGAGGCAGTGATTTCATAGGAACCTGTACCAAACCTGCCTGCTGGATATGATATATCTCCTGGGGATGAGGGAGATGTCTGCAGCTCACACCTGGGGACATAATAGCTGGTGGTGGACATTCTGGGAGTGTTCATTTATATGAGGCTTCCTGGACGCTGACATCTTGATTGGATCATTAACTCCCAAGACTGAGACCAACATACAGACTCTAGGGAAGCCTCAGGCCAAACAACATACAGGGTAGGGAAAAGGCCACACCCATCAGCAGATTCTCTAAGCCACAAAGGCCTCTAGACAGGACTCTACCCACCAGAGTTCCAGGACCAAGCTTCACTCAGCAGTGGGCAGGCACTTGCTCCTCCTGCCAGGAAACCTGCATAAGCCTCTAGTCCAGCCTCATCCACCAGGAGCAGATATCAAAAATAACAACACAACAATCCCAATGCCTGTGTAAGGAATCCACAAACACATACAAAGATAGATGATAAGAAGTGGCAAAAGAATATCTCCCAGGCCAAGGCACAAGATAAAATCCCAGAAGAAGAAACAAGTGATGAGGAGATAAGCAATTTATCTGAAAAGTAGTTTAAAGTAATGATGGTGATGATGTTTAGAGATCTCAAGAGGCACAGAGTGAAGTTTTTGAGCAAAGAGTTGGAAAATATAAAGAACACCCAGAGTTGAAGAACAAAATCACTGAAAGAAATAACACAGTAGAAGGAACCAAGAATAGACTAAATGAGGCTCTTAGAATAACGGGCCAATGAGCTAGAAGACAAATGAGTGGAATGAACTTAAATATAAAACAAAAACAGACTCATAGATATAGAATACAAGCTTGTGTTTGTCAAGGTAGAGGGGCATGGGAAGGGATAGACTGGGAGTTTGAGATTTGTAGATATGGACAGGTATATAACTAACCTAAAAATATAGTCTATAAAAAAAGAATATTTGGGGAATGTGTAGAAAAGAGGAATTCACCTCAATAGACAGGTATTGTAGACAAAATCTAGTGTAAACTCTCGGCTTGGCTTCATAGCCTCCAGATGCTTTTAAAAGTCTAATCTCAGGCTCCTTATGAAAAGTTCCAGCAAAGCAAAATCAAGACACCATGTGGTCAAACAATATTCTTGCTCTACTTACATAAATAATCAGACTAAATTTAATGAGACTGGACTTATTTTGCAAACAAATTTGTCTATGATTCTCTCTGATAGAAGAGGTGGTGACAATAGAGGTAAAATTTTGTTTCAATAGAAAACTATGATGTACAATTCTGGGTCTGATTATGCACATCTTGGCAGACCTTGACAAATCCTGGATTATTGTAGTTTCCTCCAAGATCTCACTAAAACTCTCCAGAATAGCATTTCCAATTTTTCTCCTTTATAACTTGGAATCATTGTGAAGGAAAACTATGCTTTTCCCAAGCCTGGCAAGTTGAGGCTAGAAAATTTATCAGAAACTTAAAGTAATTGACAACAGACCATGAATAGGCAAGTTTTGTGTCAGCTTCTGTGTGGGGCACTCAGCAAGTTCACCTGAATATCTGACGCCATCACCATGGACAATCAAACTGAAATCTGGTGCATCCATTGGATTGACACAGCTACACTCTCTCCACTGTCTAAAGATGTTTTGAGCCCAACATCTTCTTGATTGGCTGCCCTCTGGATTCCATTTTTTTTCACTATTACTCTTTTTTTCCCCCTGTGCTTTTCATAGAAACTACTATTCATTATGTGCTGGATGGCTAGTTCCCTCCAGCAAATGCACTCTACTAACAAGTCTTAACAGATGATTCAGCTGGTCCTTAATGAACAAAGTGTGTCTGAACAAGAACTGAGTTTATATTATTCAAAGGAAAGAAGAACACCTGTCTCTACTTTCCTTAAACAAGAAAGGGCCTGACATATATCTGGTGGGAACTCTAACTGGAAAAAGACACATGCACTCTAATGTTCACAGAAGCACTATCTACAATAGCCAAGGCATGGAAGCAAGCTAAATGTCCATCAACAGATGATTGGATAAAGAAATGATGGTATATATACAATGGAATAATACACAGCCATAAAAGAATAAAATAATGCCATTTGTAGCAACATGGATGGACCTAGAGATCATCATTCTAACTGAAGCTAAGCCAGAAAGAGAAAGAAAAGTACCATGATATATCACATATATGTGGAGTCCAAAAAGAAAACAAAAGGACACAAATGAACTTATTACAAAACAGAGACAGACTCACAAACATAGAAAACAAGCTTATGGTTACCAGGGCGAAAGGAGATGGGGAGTGATAAATTGGGAGTTCAGGATTTGTAGATATTAACTACTATATATAGAATAGATAAACAATATACTTCTACTGTATAGCACAGGGAACTATATGCAGTAACTTGTAATAAACTGTAACAAAATATATATATCTGAATAACTATGCTATACACCAGAAATTAACAGCATTGTATATCGACTATACTTCAATTAAAAAAATGATTACAAGCAAATTGTCTTACATAGACTGCCTAAGAGTCATGCTGTAAGAAGCAACAACCTCTCTTCTTCCTCTCCGCCATCTGTTCAGCAGCCGCTAAAATCAACTATGCCTGAGTGCATCTCCATCCACATTGGCTAGGCTGGCGTCCAGATCAGCAATGCCTGCTGGGAATTCTACTGCCTGGAACACGGAATCCAGCCCAATGTCCAGATGCCAAATGACAAGACCATTGTGGGAGGAGATGACTCCTTCAATCACTTCTTCAGTGAAACAGGCGCTGGCAAGCGTGTACCCAGGACAGTGTTGGCACACCTGGAGCCCACATTCATTGATGAAGTTCTTAATGGCACCTGCCACCAGCACTTCCACCCTGAGCAGCTCATCACAGGCAAAGAAGATGCTGCCAATAAACATGACCATGGTCACTACACCATGGACAAAGTCATTTACCTCGTTTTGGACCAAATTCAGAAACTGGATGTCCAGTGCACAGGTCTTCAGGGCTTCTAGGTTTTCCACATCTTTGGTGGGGGAACTGGTTCTGGGTTCACCTCCCTGATGATGGAATGTCTGTCTGTCAATTATGGAAAGAAGGTGAAGCTGGAATTCTCCATTTACCCAGGCCCCAGGTTTCCACAGCTGTAGTTGAGAACTACAAATCCATCCTCACCAGCCACACCACCCAGGACCACTCTGATTGTGCCTTCATGGTAGACATTGAGGCCATCTATGACATCTGCCATAGAAACCTCGATATCAAGTGCCCAACTTACACTAAACTGCATAGGTTGATAGGTCAAGTTGTATCTTCCATCATTACTTCCCTGAGGTTTGATGGAGCCCTGAATTTTGATCTGAAAGAATTCCAGACCAACCTGGTTTCCTATCCTCACATTCCCTTCCCTCTGGCCACATATGCCCCTGTCATCTCTGCTGAGAAAACCTACCATGAACACCTTTCTGTATCAGAGGTCATCAATGCTTGGATTGATCCAGCCAACAAGATGGTGAAATGTGACCCTCTCCATGGTAAATACATGGCTTGCTACTTGTACCATGGTGACGTGTTTCCAAAATATGTCAATACTGCTATTGCCACCATCAAACCAAGTGTATCATCCAGTTTGTGGACCGGTGCCCCACTGGCTTCAAAGTTGGCATTAATTACCAGCCTCCCACCACAGTACTTGGTGGAGATTTGGCCAAAGTACAGCAAGCTGTGTGCATGCTGAGCAACATCACAGCCATCGCTGAAGACTGGGATGGCATGGAACAGAAGTCTGACCTGATGTGTGCCAAGCTTGCCTTTGTTCATGGGTATGTGAGTGAGGGCATACAAGAAGGAGAGTTTTCTGAGGCCATGGCTCAGTCATGGCTGACCTTGAGAAGGATTATGATGAGGTTGGTGTAGATTCTCTTGAAGGAGAGGGAAAGGTATACTAAAGTTAAAATATCACAAAGGTGCTGCTTTATGGGGAAGCTTATTCTGTTTTCGACATTGAAAAGTTGTGGTCTGATCAGTTAATTTGTATGTAGCTGTGTATATTCTCATATACAATTACTGACTTATGCTTTAAAACACAATGCTTTATTACAGACCCAAGCTATCCATTTATCTGAAGGATTTGAATAAAATAGTCACTGTCTTAAGAAAAATATTGCAAAGAATGGGCCTGAAAGGATTAGTTTGTTGACCAAACTTTAATCAGACCCTTGAAACTTCTCTGAAGCCCATATGGGTACCCCCTTGTAAAATCCTCGGCAAGAATTCTGCTGAGAGAGTTTTGCATGAGGCCTTCATCCTCCAGGTCTGATCACCCTCAATATCTAATTAGGTTACTCATATTCCACTTCCCACAGCAGGTAATATCTGATAAATCTGACTCATTTTCAGCAAAAATCCCATATGTCTGTTTACCAAGAAATTCCTGGAGGCCAAGATGGTGGAGTAGTAGGATACTCGAGGCTTACCCTTTCCCACAAATAAACCAAGGCTCACATCCACAGATGCACTCTGCCAACCAGAGCACCTGCAGAATTCCAACAGAACACAGTCCTCTTCAAAAGACAAAGACACCAAAAATCTGGTAGGAGAAAAGAAAAGAAAGAAGAACAGGCAAAACAGTGCGGGACCAGTCCTATGGGGACAGAGTGGCAAAGGAGGACTAGTGCTCATTCACTGGGTCTCCCCTTCTCCAACAGAGAAGCGAGCAGGGTGGAGGGGCAGCCTCCAAGGCTCGAATCTGTACAGAGCAGACCTTGACCAACAGAATTAATTTAAATGGGCACAGTGGTTCCCTGCAACACCCAGCCTGAGACACAAGCCAGCAGCTGGGGGCCGGAATGGGCTGCCTGAGCCAGGCAGAAGACTGGGATGGCTGCATTGAGGCAGTCCCAGGGGAAAGCAGGGTGCTGTGCAATGTGGATGAGTAGGTGCACAGGGTAGAATAACCTGGACCCTCCATAGAACAGCATGGCTGATGTGCCCTGAGGGGAAGGATGCATACACCCATCTCTGAAAATCTGCGGAAGGCTTTTCGGTGAGGAGAGGCGGGGCTCAGGCACAGCTGCCTTATTCTCCAGTGATTGGCACCCAGGTCGGGGCAGGGGTGAAACCAGAAACCGCGCCTGGGGGCTTCACAGCCTCAAAGGCCAGATGGAGACTTGTTTGCAGCCCGAGGCAGATAGGATACTTCTGCCCTGGTGCCTTGCTGAGTTTGCACCACCAGGACAAATGAGGAGCTGAGTTTGGGCACAGAGCAGGGGTGGGGCTGTTCCGCGGTCTTCCCAGGGCACATCTGTGGAATGCTGACCCGGGGCGGAGCAAGCCACGGTGTGGAGCGACCAGCGCCTGGAGACAATGGGTGGCCCCTGCATTTCCTGCAGGAACTCAGCCCCTGACCAGGGTGCTGGGAGGGGCTGCGATTCACCCGCACACGTGGCCAGTCTGCAACATCTGACTGCAGCATCGGGAGGGGCAGTGACCCACCCACCTACAGGGAAGGAGAGCTGCACCTGGCCTAGTACTGAGAGGGGGCCTGATCTACTTGCCAACAAGCATTAGGAGCAGCACAGACTAGGGCACCAATGTAGGGAATCTGGAAATAGCAAGCAGAGTTCGCGAAAGAGAGCTAAGAAATAAAGACTTCTCATTAAGACACACAGTCTCCAGGAGAACACCACCTCCATTTTTTTAAATCTGTTTTTACCTGTTCTGTTTTTTATTACTGTTTTAATTTTTACTTTTTAAACAATTATATACCCTCCAATTTTAATCCCTTCTAAATTTTTCTTTTAAGAAAAGTTATTACTATTATTTTACAAAATTGACATCATGTCATTTTTATTTCTTTTGGTATTGATCTCCTGTTATTGATTATACACAGGTTTCAAATATATTTTCTCCTCTTTTCTCCTTTTTCTTTTTTTTAAAGATTTTAAATAGACGTCTCAACCTTATTGCTATTCTGCATCAACTTGCTCTTCTATTATTAATAATACACTGTTTGGAAACCTTTTTTTCCTCCCTTCTTTTAAAATTCTCTCTTTATTTTATCTTTTTTATCTGTTGTAATTTTATTACCTTTTTAATTTCTACTTTCTCAATAATTGTGTATGTTTCTAGTTTTAATTCCTTTTAATTTTTTCTTTTAAAGTAGTTATTACTATTTTTTAAAATCCATTTGATTTCATTTTCATTTTTTTATTTAGATCCCCTGTTATTGTTTATAAATAGGTTTCAAATACCATTTTTGATCTTTTCCCTTTTTTAAAGAGTTTTTAAAAAGACATCTAAACTCAAATGCTAGTCTCATTCAAATTCCTCTTCTATAATTAATTATACACTGTTTTCAAACATTTTTTCTCCCTTCTTTTAAAATCCTCTTTCTCTCTCTCTCTTTTTTTAAAGTTTTATTCCTACATAAGCACTAAATAGATAAATAAATAAACTGCTTAAGGACCACAATAGATAACTGATACTCCATTAGCCACAGTACCAGAGAGATATAAGCAAGATGAAGAATCAGAGCAACCATTCCCAATTAAAAGAACAAGATAAATCCCATGAAAGAACGATCAATGAAATAGACATTGAGAGCATACAAGATCAAGATTTCAAAACAGGAGTGATCAAAGTACT